TGGTCTATCGACTAGATAGGCGGGATATAAATAAAATAAATAAATAAATAAATAAATAATGTACCTGTTTTTGTATGCTATTCCCTGATTCTAAAAGATTGAAATGCCTCTCCCCATGCTCAATGACTGCCAAAACAGCTTTATACTGCCTTTATTTATTTATTTATTTGTTTATTTATTTATTTACTTACTTACTTACTTACTTACTTACTTACTTACTTACTTACTTACTTACTTACTTACTTACTTACTTACTTACATAAGAGCATTGCACAATTTAAAATCATGTACCCATATGAAATACAGGTAAAATTAAAGACTAATTAAAATGTTAAGATAATTAGACTATTTTGACCAGAAGAGTAACTTCATCTTGGCCATTTGCTAGATGTTCTTTTGTACACGTGGTGGAGCATAAACTCCATAAGTGCTGCATTGACTGAATTCTTCCATAGTCACAAAAAATCTGTCAAGCAGCCTCATTTTACTTGATTATTCTTTGATCTTCCTCTGATGGTCCAGCTTTAACCTAAAATATGCTCATTGTTTGGGTCCTACCTTTTGGGGTCTGAACAGCAGTGGAATGCATTCACCCAAGAACCTCTCTGAAATTCAGTTTGGCCGTTGGATTAAAACATATTACCCACCTTTGATCTATACCAGTGGTTCTTAACCTTTTTCTTGATCTATACTATAGTAGTAGCAATGTAGAAAATGTTTCCATCACTTCTACCACAGGTCCATTTGCTCACTGCTATCCAGAGGAGTTGTTGCAAGCATATAATAAGCTACTTAATAAGACCATGCTGGACTGTCTACACAGAGATAAAATTGCCAGGAGACTCTCGTGATAATCTTTTTCTTATTTAAATAGGGATTAATACAGAGTCTAAGCCAAAACGATCATTAGCTGAATCTTTCCATCACTTCTACCACAGGTCCATTTGCTCACTGCTATCCAGAGGAGTTGTTGCAAGCATATAATAAGCTACTTAATAAGACCATGCTGGACTGTCTACACAGAGATAAAATTGCCAGGAGACTCTCGTGATAATCTTTTTCTTATTTAAATAGGGATTAATACAGAGTCTAAGCCAAAACGATCATTAGCTGAATCAAATCATCCTCTGGTAGCACACGAGACAACTAGATACCTGTCTCCTGATACCGCTCCCCTGCATTTGGCATTTTGAGGCACCTTCCTTTTAAACCTGGAGATAATACACTCTTATCATGGCTTGTAACGTGCAATTGACTTCTCCTCCAGGAATCTGTTCAATCCCCTTTTAAAGGCATATAGGCCAGATGCCGCATCCTGTGGCAAGGAGTTCCACAGACTAATAACACTCTGGGTAAAGAAATACTTTATTTTATCTGTTCTCGCTCTCCCAACACTCAATTTGCGTGGCTGTCCCCTGGTTCTGGTATTGCGTGAGAGGTAAAAGAGCTTCCCTCTATCCACTTTATCCATTCCCTGCATCATGTCTCAGTCATGTCACCCCTTAGGCGCTTTTCTCTAGACTAAAGAGCCCTAAACGCTATAGCCTTTCCTCATAAGGGAGGTGACCCAGCCCAGTCATCATTTTAGTCTCTTCTGCTCCTTTTCTAGTTCCACAATGTCTTTTTTGAGGTGCAGTGACCAGAACTTTAACTGTATGCAATACTCCAGATGCAGCCTTACCAGTGTTTTGTACAATGGCATTAGGATGTTGGCTGTTTTATTTTTAATCCCTTTTAAAATGATACTTAGCATGAAATTGGCCTTCTTCACTGTCACCCCACACTGGGTTGATACTTTCATCGACCTGTCCACCAGCACATCAAGATCTCTTTCGTGATCCATTACAGACAGCCCAGAACTCATCAGCTGATAAATAAAGTTTTCATTTTTTGCCCCAATGTGCACTACTTCATATTTTCTTATATTGAAACACATTTGACATTTTGCTGCCCATTCTCTCAGTTTGGAGAGATCTTTCTGGCGCTCTTAACAATCCCTTCTGGTCTTCACCACCCAGAAAAGTTTTGTGTCATCTGCAAATGTGACTACCTCACTGCTTATCCCTGTCTCCAGGTCATTTATGAACAGGCTGAAAAGCACCGGTCCCAGGACAGATCCCTGTGGCACACTGGTTTCCACTTCTCTTCATTCTGAAAATTCCCCATTGACACCTACTCTTTGTTTCCTGGTTCTCAACCAATTCTCAGTCCATAAGAGGACCTGCCCTCTTATCCCCTGACGGTGGAGTTTTCTCAGCAGCATTTGGTGAGGGACCGCATCAAACATCTTCTGAAAATCCAGATAGACAATATCCACTGGCTCGCCCACATCCACATGCCTGTTGACCTTTTCAGAGAATTCTAAAAAGTTTGTGAGGCAAGACTTGCCCTTACAGAAGCCATGCTGATTGTTCGTCTATGTATTTTAAGATTTCATCTTGGATGAGGCTTTCTACCATCTTCCCTGGAACAGATGTTAGGCTAACCATTCTGTACTTTCCGGGGTCCTCCCTCCTTCCCTTTTTAAAGTTTGGCATGATATGTGCTATCCTCCAGTCCTCAGACACTGTGGCTGTTTTAAGGGACAAACTGTATATTTTAGTTAAGAAATATTTAGTTTAAAATATTTCTTTAGAAGGAGGGCATACCACTTAAAGGAAGTCATAATTATACATCCTTAATTTCCTCCCTATTATTAATATCATCCCCTATTATAATATCATCTATCTAAACACAATTTCTACTTTGGATAAGTCTTCTGCAATTTAGCACATTTCTTTAGCAGTTCACCTTCTAATATGGTCAATCTTTATTTGGAGATATCCAGGATTAATAAAACTCATTATCATCATCTAGATTTGGGATTCACTGCTACCAATATACATATGGAACTGAATTCTATTTCTTTTTCCTCTAGATATGAAGAAGCTAACTTGATTCTAAACCTGTGTCCAACATAGTAAATGGAATGGATAAGGGTAAAAAAACCTGAATAAATGAAACATAATCCAGTCAGGACACCACTGCTCCTTGTCTGTTGAAAGGCAGACCTGAAAAGAAGGACCCAGTCTGTGCTGGAGAGAGTTACACTGCTCCCAACAAAGGCTCACATCTGGAGTGTACTGGATGCAGCATTAAGCCTGCATGCCCAAGCAATGTCCAGGAGTGCACCAATGTACCAACTGTGTTTGTTCCTCTGTTGTTTTAGAAGTCTGATCTGGCCACAATCATACATGTCTTCATTATATTCTGTTTAAAGTACAGTACTGAAACACATTCTACAAGGGTCTGCCTCTGGAAAGTATTCCAGTCTCCAGCAGCTTCAAAGTTCTGCAACGGGCTGTTGATGGGAGCCAGTTACACTAAGAATAGAAACTTGCTTTTGCAACAACTTCTGTGGCTACTGGGCATTTTCCAAGGACATTCAAAGTGCGAGTTATGGACTGTAAAGTCCTCTATGACTTGGGTACAGGCTTTTTGAAGGACTGTAGCTGTCTTTATGTGCTTCCACAAGTCTTAAGCTCTTCAACAGAGGTCCATCTCTCTGTCCCAGTTACAATCACATGCACTCTTGATGAGGAAAAAGAGGGTCATCTTAATGGATGGTCCCAGGCCCTTGAGCTTCTTTACAATGCATTCTAGTTTGCCCCTCTTTATGTCCCTTCAGTAGCAAGCTGAAACCTTTCTATTTAAACAGGCCTTTGGCCACAGACTAAGTCCTGTTAACGGCAAGTGCTGTTTTTGTTGTTGCTCATGTTCTGTTTAAAATGAGGTATGCTCATTTTAAATGGTTTTAATTATGTCTTTCTTTTAATCTGATAATTTATTTAATATTGGGCAGAAACCACTTTTATATATTTCCACCGGTGTAACACCGTGGCTTATGTTTCAGTAGCAAATTACCCAAAATTAAAAAGGCACAGTTGACATTTTCTATTGCACTCCAAGTCACATGATTGGTGTGTGGTAGGAAATGTTTATGCAGACTTAATTAATGGCAACTGATGCTGAATGTTGCACTGTTGGCATTACACTAGAAGGTGTAACTTACTTACACTATACCTGAAATCAGTGAAAAAAAATTAGTCATGCTAATGCATTTATGGTCTAGAGCAGTGGTCCCCAACCTTGGGCCCCAGATGTTCTTGGACTCCAACTCCCAGAAGCCTTCACCAGCACCTCTGCTGGCCAGGATTTCTGGGAGTTGAAGTCCAAGAGCATCTGGAGGCCCAAGGTTGAGGACCACTGGTCTAGAGCAGTGGTTCTTTACCTTTGTTACTTGGATGTTTTTGAACTGCAACTCCCAGAAACCCCAGCCAGCACAGTTGGTGGTGAAGGCTTCTGGGAGTTGCAGTCCAAAACTCCTGAGTAACCCAAGGTTAAGAACCAGTGGTCTAGAGTCAACTGAGACATTACTGGGCTTAAAGTTGTAATGTTAAATGAACTTACTAAATTAACCCCACAAACCACAGAGACACAGACTTCTGAATAAGAATATACAGAATTGCATTGTAACTGGATTTAATGCCACGTATTATTGGTTTGTGGCCAAAGCATTTAAACAGAGTAACACAATCAGCTTTGAGTCTGTCAGTATTCAGTAATCATAAATGACAAGGAGCAAGGTCATGTCTATGTGTATCGTCTGTAAAATTCAGACTACAAGCAGAATAGAACATTTTTAACATAGAACATTTTTAACAGTTTTAGATATATTGGTAAAAATTTTAAGTGTCCTTATAAAAGACTGGAGGGAAATATACTTTCATTGGATTTTCAGGTAATAAGCCAATTGTTTGAACATAAAAATTTGGAAGTGACAGTAAATCAAACAGTTTGATGGATGATGCTAAAAATAATGTTCTGCTACCCTTGTGTGAAAGAAGTTCCTGCCACACCTCAAACCAAAAATTATAGAAAGAGAGCTAAACCACAACATTTCACCACAGTAAAAGTATACCCTTACTGCAGTAAACTGTTCTGTATAACAAGCATCATTTCAAATGTCTCCAGAGCCTTTTGCAACAGATGATATTCCATTAAGTACTTAAATCCAGAAGAAGAAGTAGGTATTGTCACTTTTGATTCCAGAAGTATTGCCATCTGACACTCTCTAGACCTTATGGGACACTCTTTGGCTGACTACTAAGCAATTTTCAGGTAGGAAATTATTTAATACTTTTATTTCTTCATCTGTAACATGCTTCAGATTATGATGCAAATTTATTGGCCAGAATCCTAATGGTATTTGCACGACGTTTGCAGAAGCAGCCACAGCTAATTGATGAGGTGACAAGATGCATATCAATTGCATAAATAAGCAAATGACTGAATAGAGGACAAAGATGTGCCCCATCAGGAAGATAATGTGAAAAGATATTCAAAAATTGCATGACCACCAATAGTCCCAATTTATCAAATATTTGCTGGGTAATTTTGTTCTTTGCAACATACTATGGGATTCATCCAAATGCATAACTCCAAATCAAAGAAAATTAAGCAATGTAAATAATGTATACATTAGTCTGATTATTAATTAATGCAGAAAGTTATATTAACTTGCAGCATTATCAATGACTACTATCACAGTGCTCCACACCATTTTACATAGGTATGTAAATTAATAGCAAAAACATGAAATGTTACATGTGTCTTGTGCTACCAAGTAATTCTGACTAAAGGCAACCCTTGTAGGGTTGCCAGGGTATGTGAGATATTTAAGCAATGTTTTTACCTTTGCCATTGTCAGTTAGTTTCCATGGCTCAATTTTGAACCCAGGTCCTCTGAATTCTAATCTGACATTTTACCTATCACACTGCACTAACTCTCACAATATGAAGCAGTCCTTAATAATAAGTATGTAATCTGGCCTCGTGTTCTTGTGCCCTAACAAAAGCACAGCATAGGATCTGTAGCACTATGACATCGCCCCTTTTCTTAATTATTCTAGGTCACTAGTCTCAGGAATTATGGTACACACTATAGGTGCACCCACAAACGCTTTAGTCACAAGTAGACAAGGAGGTGGTTTAGAAAGTAGTGATGCTGAAGATTCATTGCATATATCCAAATGACTGCTGATTACTTCTTGTTTCTTAACTTAATGACTACTATGGTACAGTATATCCATTCCAGTGATACTGGCATCATAATTTAGTAAGACATGAAAAACACAAGTAAGGCATGTTTGAATGGCACTGCTTTACTTGACCTGTGTGTTATTAGGTAGATGAGGTGGGCTTAAACTATTATTTTATTATTTAAAAATTAGTAATTTTTATCTAATGATTAAAAAAATGTAACTTCCATCAATGTGGATTTTAAAATTTCACAAATGTATTGAAGAATTTTATTTAAATAATTACAATTCAAGATCAGAAATGCACAAAGAAGCATAAGCAATGGAAAATGCATGAAGAGATATACAGGGCTAAAAGCAAGACCAAATCTAGATAAGGAAAACATGAGATGTGAGTTAACTGGAACTGATCCAAGAGAGTGTGTGGGTGGACAGTCCCTTTAGCAACAAACTGGGAAAGAAAGAAGGACCATCTTCATCTTCTTGCTTTAAATAAGACGTATAAAAAAGTAAGCATTTAATTGCATGTTCTTAACAATTTTTGGAAGGGTTTGGAGGATGTAAAGTGGAATGCAGAAAACACAGGAGAAATTAGCCAGGCAGAAAAGGAGAATATTTCTAGAAAGAAAAAATTCTATAAGCTTTTACCAGCAGAAGTAATAGTGGGTTACATAAAAAAGGGAAAGCACAGTATGTTGCAAGTATGAGAAAAGACTCTTAAAATAGGTTTTAGCATTATTTCTCTGATTTTGCTATAGCAAAACCCGGCAAATATTACAGAAGTGACAGTCTACACAATTGAAAAATAGTAATATGGTTTATTGAGACTTTATTTTATTTTATTTTTTGCTCTGATTCTTCTTGCTCCTTGAAGAAGTGTAGTGGACATTTACTTGAGAACAGAATAAGGAAGATAAAAATAGACTTTTTGTGGTTCTTATATTGTTTCTAAATCATTTATTGCATGTTGTTTTATGATGATTTAGTTTCTTAACCTTCAACAGTACAAGGAGACCAATGTCTGTTCTCCGTTAAAAAATTGGATTCTAAACCCACTGTGCTGTCAAGAAGGACAAAGCAAAGCTATCTGTTACTTCCTTGCTTGTATGCAGTACCTGTTGAGCCATTAGGAAAACTCCTTAGGCTGAATTCTCTAAATGGGAAACTTCATATAATCAGAAAGTGTCTGTGAATTTCGTTGTATGTGTATATACTTACAATGACAATAAATTATTATTATTATTATTAAAGAACAAGGATGAATGTGGATGATATCCTTATTTATTTTAAAAGCCCAGAAACAGCTATTCCATAACACAAAACAACCCTGATTACATTGGAAAACACAACTTGATTAAAAATAAACTATTAAAACTATTAAAAATAACACTAATGTATTCACGAAGGCTTTCATGGCCGTGTTCTACTGGTTGTTGCGGGTTTTTCAGGCTCTTTGGGTTATATTGGAAAACACGACTTGATTAAAAATAAAGTATGTAAAACTAATGTATTCGTGAAGGCTTTCTTGGCCGTGTTCTAATGGTTGTTGCGGGTTTTTCAGGCTCTTTGGCCGTGTTCTGAAGGTTGTTCTTCCTAACGCTTCGCCAGTCTCTGTGGCCTGCATCTTCAGAGGACACACTCTAAATTTCTATGCTTACATACCGTATTATCATTACAGAATAAACTGCAAATAGAATAAGAGTCAGTCCTTTTGTTCACTCCAGCTTTAATCATTAGGGTACTGAAATAAACAAGGACTTGAAACAACATTATAATTTATGAAATAGGATCATAATTTACAGAAATTATAACCCTTTAATCTGATGGATTAAGCAAAAGCTTAAAAAAGGGAAGATTACTAAATCATTTCTGGTAATGAGTACATACATTTAATTGGTTACATGTAACGTTTTGGAACTATAACTTGTATAAGGACACCTGTTCAAACTGGAAATGTTCTGTAGAGTAACGAAACCAAACGTTACAAGCATAATTTAAGCAAAGCTACAGCAATGAATCCTTTGGCGTGTTAATACTGCTGTAACACTGCCTGTTTCAGAGGCAAGTGAGAAGACTTCAGTGCTAGTAGACTTTGTGGAAGGAATGGAAAGAATGGTTTTAGCTTGGTTCAGTAACTAGTAGGAAGAGGTGTGGCCTACCTCAGAGACAATGACAATATAGGGACAGGTCTCCTTAAGGTCAGATATTGCACTTTGTTCCAGGAGGTTCAAATAAATATTTCAAAATAGTTAAATAGCGCTGTTCACCATATATAAAAGAGATGAAATAGGATAAGTAAAAATGGCTGACTCTGGCTTGACTGAATAGGAGAATGACATCAATTCAGGATAATTTAACAGAACTTTGGTTTTAAAAAACAAATGGAGAAAAAGAATACCCTAGTCTCAAGCTGTACAAAGGAACTTTCATTTAAAGGATCAGCATTTGGATACAAATGATGTAATGGTGGCAGTGCTAAAAACCCAGCAGTGAGACTTCTGAAACAGGGATTGCACAATAAGAAGAAATTTAATTATAGAAGCTGAACATAAGGGCTCTATTGAAAGAGACAGACAATATGTCCAAAAAGACAGTGAAAATAATCATCCTTAATTCGTCCTTGGCTATGGATGATTTGGGAGGAAACATTCAAAAGGTGACAAGACCTGGCTTTCATAGAACTGAACAATCCTGTCTAAATTCTAAAACTAAAGTTTAAAACCAAGAATTAAACTCCTGATCACTAAATGCAAGGAAACACCCCCTCAGTCTACATCCCAATCCCAAAGAAGGGCAGTGTCAAAGAATGCTCCAACTACTGTAAAACTGCACTCATTTCACACGCTAGCAAGGTTATGCTGAAAATCCTACAAGGCAGGCTTCAGCAGTATGTGGACCGAGAACTCCCAGAAGTACAAGCTGGATTCCGAAGGGGCAGAGGAACTAGAGACCAAATTGCTAACTTGCGCTAGATTATAGAGAAAACCAGAGAGTTCCAGAAAAACATCTACTTCTGCTTCATTGACTATGCAAAAGCCTTTGACTGTGTGGACCACAGCAAACTATGGCAAGTCCTTAAAGAAATGGGAGTGCCTGACCACCTTGTCTATCTCCTGAGAAACCTATATGTGGGACAGGAAGCAACAGTTAGAACTGGATATGGAACAACTGATTGGTTCAAAATTGGGAAAGGAGTACGACAAGGCTGTACAATATATTGTCCCCCGGCTTATTTAACTTATATGCAGAATACATCATGCGAAAGGCTGGACTGGAGGAATCCCAAGCCGGAATTAAGATTGCCGGAAGAAATATCAACAACCTCCGATATGCAGATGATACCACTCTGATGGCAGAAAGTGAGGAGGAATTAAAGAACCTTGTAATGAGGCTGAAAGAGGAGAGTGCAAAAAAGAAAGCAATGGCAAACCTCGACAGCATCTTTAAAAGCAAAGACATCACCTTGCCGACAAAAGTCCGAATAGTCAAAGCTATGGTTTTTCCTGTCGTGATGTATGGATGTGAGAGCTGGACCATAAGGAAAGCAGACCGCCGAAGAACTGATGCCTTTGAATTGTGGTGCTGGAGGAGGCTCTTGAGAGTCCCCTGGACTGTAAGGAGAACAAACCTATCAGTTCTAAAGGAAATCAATCCTGAGTGGTCACTGGAAGGACAGATCCTGAAGCTGAGGCTCCAGTACTTTGGCCATCTCATGAGAAGAGAAGACTCCTTGGAAAATACCTTGATGTCGGGAAAGTGTGACAGCAAGAGGAGAAGGGGACGACAGAGGATGAGATGGCTGGACAGTGTCTGCGAAGCAACCAACATGAAATTGACACAACTCCGGGAGGCAGTGGAAAATAGGAGGGCCTGGCGTGCTCTGGTCCATGGGGTCATGAAAAGTCGGACACGACTAAACGAACAAACGAACAAAAATGCAAAGGAAAATATTCTGAGAGTACCTAGAAACACAGTTCATTTAAATATTTAACACTATAATGTTTTTCTACTTGTTTTGCATTTCTTATTCTTTGTTGCTCCCATTGTTGTAAGATTATTATTAAAACATACTGAAAATAGAACTGAGGAGAAAGACAGTACATTGCATCAGTTGTCTGAAATTAACTTCTCTATTATTCTCAGTTCAACTGTCTCCATATTTGCTTTAATTTTGCCTCCTTCTTATCTGAAACCAACTCTTCAGGCATATAAAATCATAAATCCATGCAACATTTACTCACTAACACAGATGTAAAGATAATTAGATCAACAGACTAAGATAAATAATTTCAAATTTTTAAATCCAAAATTGCACTAGCTAATATAGATTCTGCTTGCAGCATAATGGGTCTTTCCTGATCTTCTTCATGCATGAAAATCTGTGGTGAATTTCCAGCTTGCTGAAGCAGATTTTGAATGGTGTGTGACTAGCCTTTTCCTGTTTTCCTGACACACGCTGTCTTGTGTGCAGAATTACACACCTAGATTCTGCCACAATGTCTGTGTTGATTGCGCCTTCTTTTTTCAGCTCCATGCCTTGACCACCCATTGCTTCCTCATTCCCAAATGTCATCTACTTTATTGTCCTTTCGGCAAAATGATATCCAGCCAATGATATCATATAAAATCTTACATCATCCTGGAGATCTTCTGCATGATATTTTCTATATGCCCATCTTGTCATTAGCTCCTGTCTTCGTTATCTCCTGTGTAAATTGGCATTTTTATTTCATAGTTATTCTAGTAATTCTAGTAAAAAAGGGACATGGTGGTGTTGTGGGCTAAACCGCAGAAGCCTGTGCTGCAGGGTCAGAAGACCAGCAGTCCTAAGATTGAATCCACGCGACGGAGTGAGCGCCCGTCGCGTTGTCCCAGCTCCTCGCCAACCTAGCAGTTCGAAAGCATGCAAATGCAAGTAGATAAATAGGGACCACCTCGGTGGGGAAGTAAAACGGCGTTCCCTAGTCATGCTGGCCACGTGACAATGGAAAACTGTCTTTGGACAGGCGCTGGCTCTATGGCTTGAAAAGTGGGATAGGCGCCGCCCCCTAAAGTTGGACACGACTGGACTGAAAATGTCAAGGGGAACCTTTACCTTTACCTAGTAATTTTATAATTTCGTTATAACAATGTTTGTTTATAATTGTGAGAAATATTTCTTCAGTGCTGTACACTTCCCATTGAGCATTGATAATAATGGTTAAAGGAAACATACATAGAATGAATAAATCCTTACCTAAGCTTCTCTGTCTCATTTACCTATGCTTTCCTGAGATGCATAAGATGCCATATGCTGATTCTCATCACTAATCTCTCAACCCAAAGTTTCCCTGTTTCTTGAGATCTCTTTAAACTTACCGCTTCAGTCTTTAGCTTACTATACATGACTTCTCCCTAGCAGCATGGAATTTTAAACACATCCAGACAAATAATTTTCCCTTCCATCACTATAGTTAAAGTATGAATATTCCATTTGGTATTTTTTTTCTTGTTGTGTATTTATATTTCTCTTTATTCCATAAAACCAAACTACACTAAATCTTTGTGGCATCTTTTGGAAAGGCTTCTTGTAGAAATGGGTCACACCAATTACGTAAATGCTACTCAAAGGGCCTAAATCTTCCTTTGTGGCAAAAGGTTCTCTATTTTCCATCCTTTTCAAAAGACACCGCAAAATATAGTGTACTGTAAATGTTTGCCCTATTCTTATTTTAGCCTACTCTTCTGAAATTATCTATTCAATAACTTTTGCATTTTCAATTTGACTCTTTGAGAACTTGAATAAATGTGGAATATATTCTTACACTTTGAAAGGTGAAATACCTGGAGGCTTTTACAAAGCCAAATGTCAGAGAGAAAATGTTATAAAATGCTTGCTTATTTACCCAAGGTTTATCACACAAACAAATTATGCATAGCACAGTAAATGCTTTATGAATTTTCATTTCTATAGTTACCCTTACATAATTTACAGATTTTTCTGACACATTGATTTTGACACATTACATGCACTGTTCTCTATAAATATAGTAAAAGGTAAAGGTTCCCCTTGACATTTAGTCCAGTCATGTCCGACTCTAGGGTGCAGCGCTCATCCTCGTCCCCAACCTGTAGAGCCAGGTTTATCCATAGACAATTTTCCCTGATCACATGGCCAGCGCGACTAGACACGGAACGCCGTTACCTTCCCACTGTGGTGGTACATATTTATCTGCTCGCATTTACATGCTTTCAAACTGCTAGGTTGGCAGGAGCTGGGACAAGCAACGGGAGCTCAGTCCATTGCGTGGATTCGATCTTACAACTGCTGGTCCTCTGACCTTGCAGCATAGAGGTTTCTGCGGTTTAACAGACAGCGCCACCACGTCCCTACTTCCATAAAGATATATTTATTTCTATAACTATACTAGCATGCTAATAACCAGATTCTTATTGCACTAACAAAAATGCTTAAGATACAAAACAGCACAGTTTAGGCCAGCACACTGTCCCTTCATGCTGCAGAGGCAAGTTAGCATGAAGATAAAGAGAGGGCCAGAAAAGGCAGTGAACTGAACCACAAATAAAGTAATTTAAAATTTAAAAATATGTTGCATTAAACTTTAAAATATGTTGAATTAGTGAAATGTGGGTACATACTCAAATTGTTTAGTATGGAGGCTTTGCATCTTATCTAAAACACTAAAATGTTGCAGATAATGAAAGTAACTGGAGTTCTCTGTTACCTCAAATAGCTGCAAATGGCTGCTCAATACATTATTAGTAAGTAGCAGACCTCTTTACTGGACTAATACAGGTTGTTTTCACAGACCAGGAGTTTTTGCCTCCAAGCCTGTTTTAGCTTCCAAACATGTACATTTTTTCACTCCTAGACAAAACATTTTTTTTAAAAAAATTAAAGCATGCTGCCAATTGAGCAAGCAGTGGTATTTCCTGAACACAGCCTTATATATTATTATCAATATATTTCATGTTGTTTTCTTCCTTTCACAGGCCGCCACATCAAAGCTTGAACATGGGAATCTTAAGTCAACTGTTGATCATCTTTCTTCTCTTTGGAATCACAGTGTTCTGCCAATACGAAGCTGATTTTGAGGATGAATATGAAAATGAAATAGATAATGAATATCCATCCATTTTTCATCACATTCCTAGTGTAGAATATGTCTTTCCATACTCTATCATATCTACAGAATGTGCCAAAGAATGTTTCTGCCCGCCTACTTACCCAGTAGCTATGTATTGTGATCACCGTAAACTTCAGACCATACCAATCATTCCCTCTCATATCCAGCAACTGTATCTGCAGTATAATGATATTGAAGCTCTGCCACTGGAATCCTTTGCTAATGCTACTGCTCTGAAAGACATGAACCTCAGTCACAACAAAATCAAGTCACATATGATTGATAGTGGTGTCTTTACCAAACTGTCAAATTTAGTGCAACTTCATTTAGAATACAATCAGTTAGAAGAAGTTCCATCACCTCTACCTAGAAGCTTAGAACGCTTGATCCTAGGTTTCAATCAAATTTCCAGACTTCCCAGCCAAGCAGTAGAAGGTTTAGTAAATATGACTATGCTTGACCTTTGTAACAACTATCTTGATGATTCTCAGCTCAAAGGAATACATTTGTCAAATATGGGAAACCTAATGCAGATTAACCTCTGTAGCAACAGACTACAGTCAATGCCTCCTGAACTACCAGATTCACTTATGTATCTTTCCCTTGAAAATAACTCAATTTCTTTCATCCCATATAATTATTTCCAGAAACTTCCAAATCTTATTGCTCTAAGAATGTCATACAACAATCTAGAAGAAGTTCCTTATAATGCTTTTAACCTTCCTCATCTTATAGAACTCAATCTTGGACATAATAAACTGAAGCAAGTCTTCTATATTCCAAGAACCCTGCAGCATTTGTACATAGAAGATAATGACATAGAAGGTTGGTCCATTTTTTTTAAAAAAATTCTCTTTATCTTATATGCCAGTCATTGTTAGATTTGAAATAGTTCTTAAGACTACTGGGGACAAACTACATATGATACATTATTAGCAACATCAGGGGTTTAAAATCAATATTAGGTGCAGTCACTTCCTCTCCATTTTCATTCGTACGATGCATAGTATGCAGGGAGATTTTAAGCCTTCTATTCTCAGTTTTGAAGACAAAATTCACCATTTTGCAATTAAACTTACAGGAAATTTTAAAAACTCACCACCCAAAATTTCCAATTAACTTTTATAGTCCTAAAGATATCAGCAGCATGGGTGATCAATTGCTATTGGAAGGGAAGGGAGTGGTTAATCAATCTCATGGATTGTGATTGTGAAGAAAATAAGCCCATCCCTCATCACTATTTTTTTAAAAAAATAGTACACAGCTTTATATGACAGAAGTTACCAATAATTAAGATGGGATCTTAACCTGAGATGGGCCATCACTACCTTAGTAGTGTAGCAGTCTCCTCTAGAAAAACAGAACAGCCAAATTTTTACAAAGACAGGCCTTTGGCATTTAAGCTGTACAAGGCAATTTTTAGCAGTTGGGGGACATTTATTTGTTTTAATTTATATATTTTAACTAGGTTTTAGTCTACCTTTATACTTTGATAGCCCTTCTGTTTTTTAGTATTTTACTATTGTTAGTCACCTGGGATGTCCCTTTTAGCAAAAAAGGTGGGGTAGAATTAAGAAACCTTGCAGTTTTAAAAGTAAAGGAAGAACTGAAAAGCAGAGGGACTATGCTAGAAGGAATGAAGCTGAAGCACAACCACAAGAAGAAAGAAGTAGTTTGGAGAAGAAACCCAGTGATTTAGGAGAGACATCAGTGTCTACCAGATCTTGCAGTGTGGCACTGATCGCAAGGTCAACTCCACCACTTGACAAGCAGAAGCTTTTTATTAGGCCCACCTGAGACTGCTCCTTTCCTTAGATATAACCATGACCATTCCTACATACATAACGTCCACAACTGATACTCATATGCTCTTGTGGTGAAATATCTCTTAAGTTTGGAAACATTTGGTAATAGACAGTATAGCAGTCCATCTCCAATAGGTATACAGGGTGAAGAACATATAGAGCTAGAATTGCAGTCTTGACCTAGCTTCCAATGAACGTCAATGTTGGTATTTCTGACTGCAAGTATCAGAAAACACCTTTTCTCATATGACTTCTCCTGCATTGAGATGGTCAAGAAGATTAGCACTCAAAAACTGATCTATGGGAAGAAGCAGGGTTTTTCTGTAGTAGTCATGAGGTTTTAGGAAAGCCTTGCCAGAGGAAATTTACCAATGCTGTTTTCTGTTTAGTTTGAAACAAATGTCCAGCTATATATTTTGCTCATGTCAGAGCAATGCCAGGATCACAGACTGAAATTATATTCAACATTCACTTTCACGTGTTCACTCTTGCTTTCATTTGTTTAGCAGCTTCTACAGAGAAGCCCCCAATTGTGAGTTATCAACTCAGCACATTATACTGTATTAATAAAAGCTGTGGTTTGCAAACCCACTTCAAAATTCTTGGTTGGCAACCAGCAGCAACTCGTCCATTCAGACATGAAAGTAGCCCTGCAACATTTAATACTTTAATGGTTAGATAAATTAATTTGAAGAGTTGGATTAATTAATTTATACCATTTCCCAAGTCACAAATATTATCAGTGAACTTATTTTTTTCATATACAACCATTCCTACTCATACAAACTTAATTGTATGTCTTAACTGAACTGAACTCATATGAAACTACAATTAAGTTTCTTAACACCATTCCTACTCATACAAACTTAATCGTATGTCTTAACTGTAGCCTCATATGAAACTACAATTAAGTTTCTTAACTTGACTTTGACATGATGTTTAAATTGGGTTCATAGTATTACTTCTCTTTGCTAGTTGTTCTTATGTGCTGTCAAGTCGAAAGCGACTTATAGCAACCCTGACAGAGTTTTCAAAGTAAGTATGTTATTTAAGAAGTAGTTTTACCAGTTTCACTCCCCCAGTGAGTTTCCATGGCCAAGCGAGGAATCAAACCCTGTTCTCCAGAGTCCTAGTCTGTCACTTTATCTGCTACACTACACTGGGTACACTTGCTAGTAGGGAAGTGTTTTTCACCTGTCATAATTCTGATCCTATGGCAAAATGAACTGTGCCAATATACTATTGAAAATGAAAATAGAATTTTACAAGAAACATGAACCTACAATGTTTAATTTTTTAAAAAAAATATTAGAATTGCATGGCACACTGTTATTTTAAATAAAACAAGAACAACATTACTACAAGCATAGATATATTCAGATGAACCAGCAGTTCATGCTGGTTCGTTCACTGGCCCAACAAGTTTCCATGGTTCAGCAGGTGCACATTCGGAGGCCCCACCCCAGCTTCCATGTCCCACCTCCTCTGGGCACGGCATCTAAGTGGGTACTCAGTGGAGGGGGTGGGGTACCGAACCGTGGAACACCTATGGGGCTGGTAAATTAACTTGCAGTTCCTTTCATTTCTATTCAGAAGTCCCATTTATTTCAGTTAGGCTCACTTCCAGATAGGTGAATACAGAATTTTTGTACTGAAGTGAACCAACAATGACTGAAAAATGTTATCAACTGAATTCTTTGATACCCTTTTGCATTTATAATGGAGAGCCAGTATTTCGTAAGTCATGGGATGCATAATTCCATCTTTATAACACTTTCTTTTTGTCTTTTTACAGTTATGAACATTACATTAATGTGCCCTTCTATGGATGCACTGAATTTCAGACACTTAACCTATATACGAGTGGACCAAAATAAGCTCACAGCCCCAATAAGCACATATGCTTTTTTCTGCTTTCCGCACATACGCAGCATTTATTATGGTGAACAAAAAATTCCTGCCAATCAACAAACACGATTGAGAACTCCAGTGTTCCGAAGGTATCTAACACCAGAAGAATTTGATGAAATGGAAGATGACTATCAAGAACAAGATCAAGATCACAGTCTCAGAGGAAGGGATGAAGATGATGACTTCGATCCTTATTTTTATTAAGTGATCATAATATGTAGTGACGTTTCTTTAAACTGGGTAATATGCTGATTTTAAAGCTAATAGAATAATTTGGTAGATGTAAAACATTTGTAATCCATTCAGAAATGGAGCTTCTCAAACATTTCTAAATATTACACCAACACAACTAGAAGTATTCATTTATATAAAACAAGCATAGCGACCACTATGCTTGTATAATGTTTGTCTGATACAACTATCCAATAGCAAGCAGGAAAGAACAGAAAAAAGGAGTTTCTGCCTACAAACATTTCATTTATTATTATTCAATATGGAATGATAGTGTCAGGAAACATAGTTGTAGAACAGATAGCTGTGTTAGTCTGTGATACTATATCAGGCAAAACCAGAAGAAGAATGAATAAAGAAGACAAAAATGTTGTGGCACCGTAAAGACTAACTGGTAAATTTTAATGTGAATTTTCCTGAACAATAAGAAGAAGTGGACTTGTCCACAAAAGTTCACAGTAAAATATAGCAGTTAGTCTTTAAGGTGCCACATTTTTGCCTGATAAGAATGCACATTATTTGTAGCTGGGTATACAGATTCCATAATGCCAAAGACACATTCAAAGGTTCAGTGGCAAAGCCAGTACTGACTTTAAAGGACTGGATTACACTTTAAAGAAAAATGTTAGTATTTAAGTATTCACATGCACATATATATGTATGTGTATCTATGACAACCAACTAAAAATAAGTGTAAAACTATGAATGCATTAGTTTCTGCCAAAATTCACAGTTTGTCACTTCATCAATATGAAGTGACTGAAGTAACTGTCCAACAGCTCTGAAGAATAAACTGCAACAGTAGTTTTAAAAGATGGCTTGTAGATAGCAGTTTACCTACACAATATAATAAAACATGTTTCTTTGAGGTGAAGTTGAAGATCTGCTGCCACTATAAGTTTTCTAAAATGTGTCAAGTACACTTAATGTAAATACTGTATAACAGAATATCATAATATGAATGGACCTAAAAAGTAATCTACATTAGTATCTACCAGTCTCTCAATGCTTAATGTTTTAACCACACAGGAAAATGGGCTAGGTGGGTGAAGAAATGGCTTACAACCAGATTTGTGACAATATGCCATACTTTTCCATTTATAAGATGACACAAAGTATAAAATGAGCCCCCCTTTTCTAACCCCAAATTAGTAAAAGCAGGGATTAAAGGGCTCCCTTTTTGCTAAGCCCTGTGCCTTGGCAAGGCAAGTGGCTGTCAAAGTGACTGCCACTTTTCCTTGCCTTTTGGGAACATTCAGCTTAGCAAAAAGGAAGGGAGCAATGGCTCCCCTTCCTTTTTGCTAAAGCTCCGTCCCTTCGCAAAAGGCAGTGGTAAAGAGCTGCCTTAACGACCCTCAATTTTTTCTCAAATTATTTAAGGAAAAAGTGTCATTTTATACACGGAAAAATACAGTACGTGCATGGTAATTCTCTTCCTCGCTCATTCTTTCCACTGTACACATAGGGTTCTTGTACACATAGAGTTCTTCAGGAAAGAGGAAAAGTTCCCCCCCCCACTGCCCTTTTCACAAATGGCTGGAGGGTTTATCAAACGTACATCGAAACTATCCTGGGCAAAACACAAGGACAAGATCTCAGGTTTAACCCCTGGAATGTACAGCTACCAGCATTTAGAATGACTTCTGAAACATTAGGAAGGATGCTGCTGCCAATCAGAGTAATTAAAATGTGACAATGGTGGCAGCAGCACAGTTTCTTCACTTTACTCTCATGCTAGCCTGTATGCTGCCCCTACTGCTACTGTGGTTGGGCTGAGCAGATGGAGAGAAGTTACAAGATATGGAATGAGTTGGATGCTTGGGTTCTTGGGCACAGATGGGGAAAGCAAAGCAAAGTGTGCTGCTCGTATACTGTCCCATACTGCTCATATACTGTCCCATACTGGGAGGTTTGCAATTTTTTAATTATACAGGCTACACATTGCCCACCCACCCCTGCAAGCTGGGTATTCCGTTTACCGACCTTGTGTGGGTGGAAGGTTGAGTCAACCTCAACACGTCTGTCAGATCCAATAGTATGGAACACTGACCATGAGTAGAATTTTGGCTGCATTACTACAGTTTGATCACTGTGCTACGGGGATCTCAAGCAAGGTGTGGGGGGGGGAGGAAAGATGAATGGAGGCTAAGAATATTTTATGGAGACTATTTCAAATAGTATTTTAAAATATGTTTTGAAAACCATGCTGTGCCATTGCACTAATGTCTGCATCTCAGGAACAAACAAAAAACAAAAAACACCATGACTTCAAAGGGAGGGGTCACAAAATCATGGATTTTGTCACTGTTTGGAGACAAGCCTTAAAGCATGTAGATAGTGGGAAAAATACCAATAAAATTTGTGACAGATCAGATGCATTTTGGCGAACAAGTGCTCCATCTGGAAGAGCCCATACTTTCATATCAAGAAGCTAACATGCAAGATTAATACTTTTAAATAAATGCAATTACTGGGTTAAGAATTTTAATCAGTTAGATAACATTTCATTATATATTACTTAGAAAAGTAGATCAGATAATTCACAAATATACAATCTAATATAGAAATGTAGCTGATTACTGCTAACAGATGTTTTTATATTAAAATAGCATATAAATAAATATTGATGCACTGAAAATGCAGGATTTAGTTTTGATTCCCTTTTCCTTTAAAAAAATCATTTCTTCTACTTTTCAAGACACTGAACATTCTGTTTTTATGGCATTGTCTTCAGATACCTAAGAAGAAATACCAGCTTATGTCAAGGAATTGACATTTAATTGTGTGCCAGCAAGTAAATTCAAATGGATGGCAACCTTTTTCAGGGTATTCTAAGTCAAAGGTCCCCAACCTTTTTGGGACTGCGGACTATCTGAGCCTCCGAGGAAGCCGGGGACCCCCTGCAGGTGCGCGCTCTTGGGTGCATGCGTGAAGCAGTGGGGGAGCGCCCGCCCACCCGCCAGTGCCGGTGTGAGTGCTCCCCAATCACTTAGCACATGCGCAGGGGCTCCTGCACGCACGCATGTGCGCACACTCACCCATTTGTGTGGACGCACATGCGTGAAGTGGTGGGGGAGCCCTCACGCCGGCGCTGGCACACGCGCATGTGCACAAAGCAACTGTGGGAAGGGGAGTGCATGCAGGAGGGGAAGTCTGTCTTTGCAGCCTGGTCCGACTCAGGCCACGGACCAGCACTGGGCTGTGGACCGGGGGTTGACGACCTCTGTTCTAGGTAAAGTACTCAGACGTGGTTTACCCATTCCTTTTTTCTGGGGCCAACCTGGGACTCTGAAGCTCACCCAAGGCCACACAGGCTGGCACTTCTCTTGGGAGGCACAGTGGGTAACTCCCAAACTCTGACTATACAGCCAGATACCTAAATGAGTTATCTAGACAGCTTACAGTATTGACATTTAACTGATTTTTAAAAAATTCTCAGTGTTCTATTTGTAATGTATTAGCCCTAAAGTACAATATCCTTTCTTTTACTGTTCTGAATAGAAAAACAAACAAACAAAACATCCTATAGGAAACATTTCAACAGATACTTTGATGAACTGAAATAGCCAAGTCCATTTTGGGAATATCGGACCGCATACTTACCATATTTTTCTGTTTACAAGATGACCCAAAGTATGACTCCCCCCTTTCTAACCCCCAAATTAGAAAATTTCCATGCTCACGCCCCTTTGATCCTCCCGCCCTTTCCCGTCTATGTTTCCCGCTTCCTAAGCCCTGCAGAGCTTAGGAAATGGGTAATGCAACCATGAAAGGGCAGCGCGCTAGTGCCCCTTTGATCCGGATGCCCTTTCACGGCTGCATCAGGATCAAAGGGGTGCAAGTGTGATGCCCTTTCACAGCTGCTTTACTCTGTGGCTTCGCAAAAGGCAGGGAAAGTGGCTGCTTGCCGTGTATAAAACAACCCTTAATTTTTAGTCTAATTATCTAAGTAAAAAGTCTTGTTTTATACACGGAAAAATACGGTAAATTTTATGAAACAAACTAGCCATGTATCGGCAGTTACATGTATTGGTCAAAGACTTTAAGCCAGATATCAATATTTGTAGTATACTAAATACTATAAAATATTAAGCCAGTAGAAGTTATTGCTGTGTAATTTGAAGCATAATTAGTATTATTTTCAATTTTTAGACTATATCTTGGTTTTCTAGGAACCTTTTCAGCCCATCTTATACATCGCCAAAGTAGAGTTTCAACTAAAAAAAAAGTATCACAGTTTTCATAGCTATGAAGATGACGCCTTTTTCTCCCTCTCGTATTGTTCACTTTGTGTAATGTTTTTTATTTAAATAAATAAATAAAATAATAATAATAATAAAATAAAATTACAAGGCAAGGTAATGGGGGCACTTAATCCAGCATCCTTTCTGTAATTCTGCTGAAGTGATGACAAGCAAGAAACATAGGGTACAGTCCTCCTACCCCTCTACCATTTAAAATGCAGTATGTTTTATTGATTTCAGTGTTCTCTGTCTCCACATGAAATGCATTTTCACAATAAAAGCAATGTCATCATTTTTGAAGTTTCACCCTTTATAGCCAGTTAAATGTGTTTAGCTCATCTACTATACTGAGCTGCACTCTTTCCCTCAATTTTTATATATCACCTACGCAATATCCCTAAGGCAACTCACATTTTACATGGCAATGCTGCAAAATGTGAAAGCAAGGAATGGGTCTTTGCATTTGGAATGAACACAACGGGACAAACTTCTGCAGACAACAGTCAGTCCTGCTCATGAGAAGTAAACTTATGGAGTTAATTTAGTTTCTGTGTCCTATGCTAAAACACTACTAGACATACAAGAAGATTTCCCCCTAACCTTCTTGCTTGCTGCAGCTAGCAGACTGCTGCTACAGTTTCTTCTCTTGAGATTTACTTCTTGCATCAGACCAAAGGTCTTGATTGGCATTTTGTCTCAAGCAACAACCAAACAAATATAGCTCACCATTAAAATACAGTGGTGCCTCGCTTAACGATTACCTCGTTAAAAGGCGATCGCTATTGCGATTGCAAAACGATGTTCCTATGGAGAAAATTCACTTCACGACGTTCGGTTCCCTGCTTCAGGAACCGATTCTTCGCATTATGACGATCTAAAAACAGCTGATCGTCGGGTTTCAAAATGGCTCCCCACTGTGTTGACAGATTCCTTGCTATACAGGCACCAGAAAATGGCCGCCCTGTGGAGGATCTTCACAGCACGATAAGGTATTTCGCCCATTGGAACACATTGAACGGTTTTCAATACATTTCAATTGGTTTTTTAGTTTCGCTTGATGACGATTTTGCTTAACAGCGATTTTAACGGAACACATTATCATCGTCAAGCGAGGCACCACTGTACAATGGCAACACTATTCACTCTTTTAACTTGAAGGATTACTATTCATTATTCAAAAACATCAAAAATCTAGTAATGCTGCACATAATGTAAAAACAAGCAAGACAGATGCATGCACACCTCTGCCCACACGCCCCTCACATGCACAGGGTTAAGGGAATGGGCTGGCTAAAATGGAAGGCGGGCCGAACGTGGCCCAATGACCATAGTTTGGAGACCCCTACTGTAGACTATTCTTGCTACAACTAGGTAAAAATACAAAATATAGCATTACCCGTGTTAGTTCTCAGCTACAAGAAGGCCTCATTACTTCATGAGGCCTTCTTGTAGCTGAGAACTAACACGGGTAATGCTATATTTTGTATTTTTACCTAGTTGTAGCAAGAAGCCCAGATTGGAAGTGAAATGCAAACAGAGGTTGGCAAAATCACATCAACGTTTCAGGCATAATAGAAGATTGATTCTACTTATTACACATACTGCTACACTGTAGTAGCTACAATACAGTATTTCCCAAACATTTACCACTTAAATTGAAATTAGAATTGCATCTTAATCTTACAGGTGAAAAAAAAAATACTTTTGAAGTATGCAAGAATTAAAACCAGCATGCCACAGTAAATATATTGAAATTTATGGTACTATTAGCGCTAGACCATACTACACCCCACACAGATCTTACCAATGTAAGAGTTCTTCATCCAGTTCTTATCAACCCTCTGAGAGCTTTTAGGAGAAATAATGTAAAGGAAAGAAACACATAATAGTGATGTATACACAAGGACAACAAGAGTCTTTCAGCAGGCATATCTTTCTGTACCGTCTCTATATCAGAAGAAGGGAATGGAACTTGTGTTAATACAAATGGGGAAAAACATGAAAGAATCTCTTATTTTCATTTTCATGTTTTTTCTTCCCTTCCAGACATACAATCTTTGAAACATGAAGGATTTCTGTTAATGAAAAAGGGGAACCCAGGCACGTAGTGTTATTTTGGCTTTCTTTTCTCATTTAGCCTTTCTTTGTTCTTTCAAATGTATGTGTCTGTCAAATTGCACAGTAAACATTTAATACATTTAATAGTGTATCAAGAACTGCTGTCAGCACCCAATCAGAATGTTCATAAATAGAGGAGCGGGAATTTTGAAAGTGTAGAAGACCCTAGACTGGATGGAGGAACTTAGGGGAATGTGTTGGCTTCATTGTTGGGTCTTGGTTTGGTTGTTGTTTCCCTGCTTTTGTTGTCTGCATTTGGAACATACTGATTCTCTGTTGCCTGGCCCCTGCTTTTTAAACTATTTTTGTGCATTCTTGTTAGTGCCAGAAAAAGAACAAATACAGTAGAAGAAATGAAATGGAAGTGCATGAAAAACTCAAGCCCTTTCATGTTTAATGAAAGGATTAGGGCACAAAAGACCTGAAAAAGAAGAAGGCACTTATCTGAAAGAACTCAAACACAAATGGTTTTTCCCGTGTACATCCCTATCAATCATATACATTTCAGACACCCACCCCTAGTTGAGTCTGATTTGAAGAAGGCAAAGCCAGAACAATAATTTAAAATGAGACATAGTTTTACAAAAGCACTTTTAGATTCACTCCAGCTACAGTTTTTTCTTCCAGTGGTACACAGCTATGGTTCTGTTATGCAACAATACTATGCCCTGGTGCAAACATTTGAAATTAGTGAAGCATTTTGTTTGTTTTAAGCCAACTTTTATCACTACAGCACATAAAAGTATAACCAACATTTTCTTACATTACACAATAAGGTAACAAAGAAGAGGTGACAGATGGGGAATGAGCTATGAGCAGGGCAAACAGGACAATGAAAGTTGCATAAGTAAAACTGCTGATTTCCCGAAATGTCACATCCTTGTACCTCACATTTCTTTTTTGTTCCCTGAAGAGGTCTGGAGATGTGTCCAGGGGTTGCAATGGCCTATGTGCATTTACGACCTTTGTTAGTAACTTCTATACAGAAGATGAGGAATATAGAATCCTTTTACAGATATAGACGTTTAAAATACACAAAAATTAAGTACTTCGGAAACTGGTTAGAGCGGTTATGCATGATCAAAGCATTTTTCATAGGCAGAGGTCCACAAATGAGGGCATAAGAACCCCGAGAGTAGTCTGCAAAAGAGGAATTCAATTCAGGAATAGAAGTGCCTGGTCAAGCAATGTTAGAGTCTTGTATATCAAGGAACAAAGCAAAATACTGTATGATGAGTCATGTCATTATTTAGTTCATAACTACAGATGAGGGTATCCCCGTGCAGTTGGACCATCCACTCATGTGTCTGGCGGTGGCGGCAGCCTCGCTCATCCTTCCAATCACTCCCGAAGCCCTGCTTTATTCCTGCTTGGCTAAACACTCCAGGCAAGAGGGAGAAGGACAAGTCTCCATGCACGGCTGCCAAGCTGCTAGCCAAACAGGAACAGAGTGGGGCTCCGAGAGCAACTGGAAGGATGAGCGAGGCCACCACTGGACACGTGAGTGGACGATCCAGCCCCAGAGGGTGGACTCTCATTAATTCCAGCTGTGCGGGGATATTCATATTCATATACAAATACCTCCATCTCTATTCATAACCAAAACAAACAAGGATCTTTTTCATTGGGATATCCACAGCACAGCTTGGAATGTTATAGTTTAAAATGAACTTGTTTCCTTACTCATCACTCCTCATCAACTGGTTATCATTCTACATACCAAACACTGATTTGGAGGTCACTAAAACAGATAATATTGGGTATCTGGTGACTAAAAAATAAGTCATATGAAAACATATATCCTGGGGAGAAGTCAAATGTGATTTTCTTAGGTAGAGGAAACAAGATAAAGGCTTTAACAAAAAACCTTTGAATTAAAAATATGATAATAAGCTGTAATAGAAAAGCATGTATGAAAATGTCAATCACATTGGGCAGGGCTATTATCCTCTCTGCCCGCAGTCTGCCAGAATACAAACCTTGTCTAAAAAAATTCATACATCATATCATAGTAAATCTAATTTTTTTCACAAATAATCTTAATAAGTTTTAGATGATTGCCATAGAACAGCATAACTGCTGGTCTTCAGAGAATGAAATGATAATCCAGACTTAAGAAGGTTTTTAGTGAGGTTTTGTGCTTGTTTCACTTGACTGATCAGAGTGTCTGCCATTGTATTTCAACAGATTTACAATTCTTTCATAAAATTCTCACAGTACACTATCAACTTAATGCAGGGAATTCCTACCTTTAAATCAGGAAATTGGCTGAAATGCTTCTTAAAGTGTCTCTGTCAGATCATCCAGATAGCATCTGAACCTAGTGTCTAGACTTGGAAATAAAGGTGCTTCAGGATTGGGCCATATTTCCTGGCAAGAGTGGATTGGCTAATAAAAAAACACTGTTCTGGATTTTTCAGCAGAGTCATGGCATAACAATCAGGCAGTTGCTTCCATGACTCCATAGTTACAGGAGTACAGTATCTTCTTTGATTCAATCAGTGGCAAATATTCAAGGTGACTGTGCATCTGTCCAAAGAATTATTGACAGCTGCACTTAGCAGCCTTCCAAGTTGCAAACTGTTAGTGATGCCAATTGAAAACATAATATGCATGTGTTCAGAGAGCTAGCATAGGTAAAGCTGCATGATAACAAAGCGGGGGTGAGGAATTTCTCTTGCATGAACACTGCCTTGGATGTACTGTACTTCATCATATTTATTTTGGATGTTCCATTAGGGAGAACTGCAAGAATAGCATAAAAACAAAGACAATGCTATCACTGGTAATAATTGAATTAATGAAAAGAAAATGGAACAGAGGACAGAAACAATTAGTCCTTCTTATGCAGTACTATTCAAAAACAAGATTTACATATTTCCCTTTTTCCCCCAGGAGAACCTTTTGCAAAAAAAAAAAAAAAAAAAAAAAAAAAAAAAAAAAAAAGAGTTTTGTGACAACTTAAAGAGACTGAGATAAATTTTTGTGGACTGCAACCTACCTCAACATTTAGGTCCATGCCAAATCTGCATGGGTCTCAATTTTGCATTTGACAACCACTGTTCTCCAACTGCACAGTGAATGCAAGAGAAGCAATTATATTCAGGACACATCAAGATTCAAAATGAAGAATTATAAGCACAGATTGTACACTAGGAGATGTACTAAGCCAAAACATCCAACTCCAGCTGTGAGGGGAGTTCCAGAGCAAACAGCTGGTTTCTGAACTTTGGCTTTTGTGAGGGCAATAAACATCCTACAACACTCTACATCTGAACTAAAAAAAAAACTCAGAGGTTTAAATATTCTCAGATGATAATTTTTTTTTGTTTCTTTGTTTAGTGACTTACACAAAAATACCATAAGAAAATCATAAGATATCAAAACAGCTGAGCTTTTAAATTTACAAGCTGTATATTTTATTAATTTTTACTACTTCAGTATAAGACAAAGAGAATTCTTTTAACAGATATGCAATATTAGACACACATTTCATGTCAGGACATTTATCTTAAATAATTTTAATAAAATGCCTACATATTCAAACCTGCTTCTACTACAAGTTATTCAAATGAACATGCATTACAGTGTTTTCTATAATGAGCTATTAAGGCTGGAATGCTACTCAGCCTTCCAAACATTTAACCCTAACTTTGCTAACAAAAGGGCTGCAAATAAGCAATGGAAAATACTGTCCATGCTGCAAATGTAAATCTTGCGTTTCTTCTGTGTGTATCCTGAGTCACAATGTTTTACAGCACAAAAAAGTGGAATGCACTGTTTCATCTAAAACGGAAGTCAGCTTCTTTGTTTCCCATTAAACGCTAAACTAAATGAAAAGCACATGACTATGCTTAAGTCTTTATTGCATGAAACTGCAGTTGTTCCAGTAAAAACTTTCAACGATAAGAGCAACTAGATTAACATATTAAGCTGGATCTATTCCAATATATTAGCTGAGCAAGGCTGATTTATTATTTAACATTATTTTGCATGTAAGACTGCATGGTGACGCAGTCTTCCTTACCCCAGAGAAAGTACTTTTACAGGCGGCCAATTTTTGCAGTAGCATCATTTTAGTCTGTTGAAAATATTCTTTAACTTTTCTCTGACCATTTGGAGCTAATTTACAGAGCATTATATTGAAGACAATCATAAAAGGGATCGCCATCAGCAAGAACGGTAGGTATTATTTTCCAAGAAATTATTTTAATACAATCATAATAGTTTTCTATTATATAGTATTTAGGTAACAGATGGTTTGATTTTAGTACTTTTCTTCAGTTTCAAGAATATTTAAATAAATATTTTAAATGCATGTTATTTCTTTGTTACACATTTCAAAGTTTATGTTATACAGAAAGATTTTTGGAGACAAAGAAAAATATTTCTTTTCACTCTTGAGCTTGCACTCAGCCCTGTTGCCTTAACTATTTCTTCTCTGTACAATTCAGATCTCAAAAATATTTTGAAAATATTTCTAATTAGCATTAAACGCACAGACATCATACTCTGAATATTTTTTTTTGCTGCTATAGACTTTACCAAGTTTTACATTTTAGGAGAACTTAAATAAAGAACACAAAGAGTTAAATAATCTTTCCATGTTCCTTGAGCACAGGAATATCGCTGCCAACTACTCTTCTAGGCTTTAAATATTGTTTTGTCAGATTGCTTTTTTATTTCCAGTCACAAAGAAACTATTCTCCTTAGTTCTTCCAGCTCAATACAAGCCTGAACTTCTGAAATGAAGACTTTGCAGAAGCTTGGTCTGTTTTTCTATTTTTTTATGCCCTTGGTGAAGTTAGCACCACCTAATCAACAACACACAACCCCGTTTTATGACCATGGTTTGGCCCCTCTTGAAGATCCAATATTCAAGCAAGGTAACGAAGACATATTATTTGAGGAAGATTATGAAGACAAACCACAGGATGCTGTGTACAAGGTAGTTTATAAGTTCTATTTTCCTTTTTCCATTCTGTCAATGTATGCATTAGCCATATATGCATGTGTGTATGTTCCATGTTTTCCCCCCAAAAAAGCAAAAGCAATGAAGATAATGATGGTAACCCTAAAATAAAAACATAACAAAGTTACAATATTGTTTCAACATGCTTTGTCCCTTTCTCCTAAAGCAAAATTGTTTGGGCTTATATTAGTATGCAATATGGCATACTATGTGAGAAGAACCTAGGAGAGTTACTTTTTTGGACTACAACTCCCAGAACACTCAAGCAAGCACAATCAGCAGTCCATCTGGCTGGATGTTCTGAGAAATGTAACCCCAAAAGTAACTTTCCCATGCTCTTTATAAAGCCACAAACTACAGCTAGTCTAAGTTGACATTATTGTTATTACACTTTTGTTCTTAAAAGTTCAATTTTCCAAAAATGTAATATATGATGGTAAAGAATTATCATTCTATACCCATACACAGAAAATCCAGTGATGTCCTTTGATTAAATATTCATTGACAAATCTGGGAAACCTGCCATCATGCACTTCTTTTGTGGCCTTGGCAAGTCATAAGCTTAGCTCCATTCACACCCCCTTTATAAAACAGATTAATGCTAGTATATTTTATAAGGTCAAAAAGAAAAACTATCAGGAATTTCCCAAATTAAGGCTATAATCTTATGATCCTGGAAATGTGTCCCAAGGGCCATTGGGAAGAGTATGTCTTCCTTCCAAAACCTACAATGAAAGTTGATTTTGGACACCCTATCCTAGCCTCTCTCAAACACTGCAACTTTTGATGGCATCTCCTTCCCCTGGTTGGAATTCCAACCTTGGATGATATGTAGGGATGTGTGCAAAGTTTCCTTTAAGCGCTTGCTCTCTCTCTCTCTCCCTCCCTCCCTCTGTGCGTGTGTGTGTCTGAATGCGCATACACACACAACTCCACCTCCCTCTATACAGCTTTCTTCCTCCTCTGCACAGTGATCATGTTCAACCCCTTTGGTTCCAGTCATGATGGAACTTTGAAAGCAGGGAAAGGTGGAATCCCACCCAACAGGGTTGAAAATTAGAGAGTACACTGCATGTGTGTGTGTCAACCTGTTCAGTCCATGGACCATTCTCATGCACCCAATACAGTGGTAGACTGGAGCACCTCCAGGTCTAGTCTAACTCCTTTCCATCCCACTGAAGGTCTGACAGATTGGAGGTCAGAGTGCCTACTGGGCGTTGTCATCTTTAGGTTTGCTCCCTGAGTAAATTCCTAATATATAATATAATATATATCATAAGCAGCAGTATTTCTATAATGAGATTCTCATTGTTCTGAATGAAACATAGTTCTGTAGCATTAACAAACTTCATTAATTACAGATGCATTTAGTCTGAGAGTTAACAATGTACTGTACTACTGTAGCATCCCTAATTACCAGCATTCAGAATGTTATAGAGTATTAAGACACTGCTGGCAGAAACCCTAGGGCACTGATGGCGAACCCTTTTGATCTTGATGCCCAAACTGAAAAAAAAAAAATACAGTGGGCGGCAGTGGTGGAAGCAGCGGTGGAAAGGGGAATCGTGGGCACAGAGGTGCCTCCTACCCCACTCTGGGTCCGCCTCCTGTCATGCCTAACCCCACCACTGCCTATAGCTTGGCCAGCCCGCCGCTGCCAGCGCCAGCTGCTCCGGATCCTGGCCCACCACCTGTATGGGCACTAGAACCGCCGCTGCAGCCACCTCCTCGTGTTTGGCTGCTGGGGGTAGCGACCCAGCAACTTATGGCTTGTGTGCCCAAAGAGAGCGCCCTGCGTGTCAGCTGTGGCACACATGCCATAGGTTCACCATCGCTGCCCTAGGGTATATCAATAAACTTATGACAATGAAGAGAGCCAATAATGAAAGCAAGCAATACACAGAATTCTTCTGGTTAATTACAACTGCATAAATGCAAAGGCCTAAACTGCAGTGGTAAATTGCCACTAGGAAACACATCACACTTGTATCTATCCTTGCATGCCGAGCAATATAAGCAGCAACTTGTTATAGTGGTGCCTCGACTTAAGACCATAATCCGTTCCAGAAGATGGGCGTATCTTGAAATGGTCGTACGTCAACACACCATTTTCCATAGGAATGCATTGGTATGCGATTAATCCATTCCAGCATTTTAAAAAAATACCAAAAACAACAACAAAAACAAAAACACTACAGCCAGCCCCATCGGAACACGATGGGGCTGAAAAAAAAATCAAAAAGCACAAACAGAGCAAGCCCCATCGGAACGCAATGGGGCTGAAAAACCACACACACACCAAAACACGAAAAAACATCACAGCACAGAAACATTCCCCCCCCAACCCAAACCCACCCTGCAAAACAAAGTAAATGTACTTACTCAGAAGCAGAAAGCAGCACCAGGCAGTCCGAAGCCTCTCTGCAAACGCACACTCTCTAAGCGTTGGGGCGAAAGAGCTACAAAGAAGCTCTTCGCCGACCAACACTTAGTACTCTAATTTGAATTCCCCGCCTTTTTCCCCCTGCCCCCCCTTTTGCAACTCGAAACTCCGGCCACAAGTCAAAGCAAAATTTTGTGTCTGGAGCTGGTTGCAACTTGAAATGGTTGTATGTCGGGACGGTCATAAGTCGAGGCATCACTGCAATTAATGACATTTCACCTCTGCAATCTACAACATTGTGTGTGTGTGTTCAGTCGTTTATTTACCCCCTGCCCCCCCTTTTGCAACTCGAAACTCCGGCCACAAGTCAAAGCAAAATTTTGTGTCTGGAGCTGGTTGCAACTTGAAATGGTTGTATGTCGGGACGGTCATAAGTCGAGGCAACACTGCAATTAATGACATTTCAACTCTGCAATCTACAACAATGTGTGTGTGTGTTCAGTCGTTTAGTCGCGTCCGACTCTTCGTGACCCCATGGACCAGAGCACGCCAGGCCCTCCTATCTTCCAC